CTCTTTAAAATGAAACATTCTTGAAAACTGCAAGATGATTTTTTTGAGCTCAGAAAGACAGAAAAGATTTGGAGTTAAACATAGCATTGGCACTTCTAAGCTATCTCCAGATAGTCTTGATTTTATGTTCCTCTTTTATTCAAGCACAGGATGAGAATTGTCATATTTTTTTATTTATTTTTGTCAATTGCTTACAAGATAATAGATATAAGTAAAAACACAGTTATGAACACATGGATACATATAAGAAAAATTTAAAAAAATAAAAGAAACAATAGGACAGGGACGGAAGGCACGTTGGTGTGCTTATGCACGCCCCCTACAGACCTCTTAGGAAAGGGGTGAGGCCAATAGTAGGTTAAAGTTTTGGGGGTTTAGGGAAGAAACCACAGAGTCAGGTAGAGTATTCCAGACATTGACCACTCTGTTGCTGAAGTCGTATTTCCTGCAGTCAAGTTTGGTGCGATTAACCTTGAGTTTGTATCTATTGTTTGCTCTTGTGTTGTTATAGTTGAAGCTGAAGTATTCATTGACAGGTAGGACATTGCAACGTATGATTTTATATACTATACTTAGATCAGACCGAAGGCGACTTAGTTCTAGGATTTCTAGGTCTAGAATTTTGAGTCTGATGGCATAAGGTATTCTGCAATGAGTAGGAGTGGAGAACTCTTCTTGTGAAATATTTCTGGACTTTCTCAATTGTGCTAATATCAGATACGTAATGTGGGTTCCAGACTGATGAGCTGTATTCGAGTATTGGTCTAGCAAATGTTTTGTATGCTCTAGTTAGTAGTATAATATTACCAGAGAAAAAGCTACGTAAGATTAGGTTAACAACTCTTAACGCCTTTTTGGCTATGTAGTTACAGTGGGCTCTAGCACTTAGGTAATAGAGATGAGTACTCCAAGATCCTTGACAGAGTTTGGATCATCAACAAGGTCTTGACTATTCAGCCTGTATTTTATTTTCTGATTTTTTTTGACAATATGTAGGACAGAGCATTTATTTGTTGAGATTTGAAGATTAAGATATTAATTCTCCTGTTGCTCCCTGCCCCTTCCCAAAATGAAACTCATGTACATTCAGTAAGGACTATTCTGGACGAAGAACATAAGGCCTCTTTGCTTTTTCATCAACAACAATCACTTGATGAAGAGTGTGTCTATTTTCTTCTCATACTTTACTATTAGCAAAAGGGTCCTTCTGTGATCTGCCAGAAGTGCTTCTATGGCAACAAAAAGCATTCAAGTATTGCTCTTGTTTTGTGACAATTTATCATTAAAAGCCTCTATTATATTTTTGGGAAGTAGATGAAAATGGTACATTAAGAATAACTAAAAGTGGAGAAAGCAACATACCCCTCCCTCCTAAAAGCAGCAATTGATGAAACAGATACACAAGAAACTCCCCTGAACCAAAAAACACACACAACAACAACAACCCCACACTAAGACAATTGTTTACAGTTTTGAGGCAGGAGAACACACGTATGGGCCAGGGATACAGGGGAAGGCTTCTTTTAAAAATAATCTCTCTTCCATTACCAAATGTTATGTACCAGACCACCTCAGCTTAGATCAGTGGTTGCCAAACAGTGAGCTGGGGACCACTGGTGGGTCTGCAAGAAAATTTTGGTGGTCTGAAGAGAAATGTCAAATGTCAGAAATGTCACCCACAAAGCACCCCACAAAGCAAATAATCCAGGCTGCGCGGGAACACAACGCTGTGCCGCTCACATGGCCCACGGGAACACAAGGCTTGAGTTGCTTGCATTGCAAACAACACGAGGTAGTGAGGGGAGGGGGGAAAGGATGGAGGGGGGGAACTTGCCCCATGTGCCTCGCCTGGCCACCAGGCTGCTTCTTTCCGCTTCTTTCTTTTTCTGCTTTTGGCTGCACGCAAGGAAAGCAGCGAAGGTCTTTTTGTCTCTCCCCCAAACTCCACCAGAAATGTGTTTTTGGGACCCTGCAAGGCCTCCTGCTCCAAGAGGCTGCACCGGCATGACAAGTCTCACAAAGAGTCATTTTTGGCAGAGTTTGGGGGAGAGAAAGAAAGACTTCTGCTGCTTCTGCTGCTTTCCTTGCATGAAGCCAAAAGTCTCTCTCTCTCTCTCTCCCCTTGAGAACGGAGCTGGAGATGGTATCCTGCAATCCCAAATAAAGAATGATCGATTGGTAGAAAAACAGGGTGGGGAATTTTCCTTACATTTTTTGGGGGGTGGATTTTCCCAGGGTCTCTGGTCCGTGGGATTTAAAATTATGAGTTTGGTGGTCCCTGAAGTCCAAAAGGTTGGCAACCCCTGGCTTAGATCATCATAAAGACAGTGTCAGCCCTCTTGTACTCAGTTTTCATATGTTTGGTGTTTGAAAGAGAACTTGAAGAGTAAGGATTAAATCTTAAAGGTAGCCTTCCCCAACCCTGTCCTCTCCAGATGAGGAGTGATGTTGATACCTTTAATTCCCTAGCCAGCATAGTCAAATTTGAAATCTCACACATCTGAAAAACATCAAGTTGGGAAAAATAGAGGAGATAGAAGCTTTATTTTTAGAGTCATTCCCTCTACGTTTAGGAACAAAATATGTTAGATATTAAGTCTATGCATATACTCAATATTCACATATTAAGCAATGATTATTTTAGCAGCAATTTCCATTTGTCATTTCCTCTGATGGCAAATGGCAGCCACCATGAGAAATTTCATCAAAAGTACTATTCCAGCTACATCAAAGATGTGCAGTTTTGATTTTAAGAAATTAAAGTCTGATTTAACAGTGATAAAGCAGGTGCTTTAATCAACCTGGCACAGGTTAGATGAGAAATAAACAGAATGAAGTTGATGGTATCAGAACAGTATATCTATCATGCAAGTATCAACTATGTACATTTGTCACATTCATTGCACTTTCAAGACAGCGACAACATGAAATGAGAAATATTTACAGTACACTATTTCAATAGAATTTATAATATTTGGAGCTCAGAACCCAGAAAGCGAATTTCTTATTTATTTCTGGAAAAGAGATTTGGTCAAAAGTGAAAATATCTTCTCTCTCAATTTCTTAAGAAGAACTGATTCTGTCTTCAGGTACAAGTCAATTCCATCTGATGAAGTGATGTGAAGCTCAAGGAGTATTTCAAGCTTCATACGAAGAGATACAATTTTGCCAATACTTTCAACATTCACATTGAAATAACTTCTGAGATGTGAGTTATAAAAGAAAGCCCAGTCTCTAGTACCACAAATATGGAACAGCAACTGATAATTAACAGAATAACAGATTTGGAAGGCACCTTGTGGGTCATCTAGTCCAACTCCCCCTCCCCCTCCCAAGCAGGAGACCCCCTACACCATTTGGCAGTGCAGGCTCTTCTTAAAGAACTCCAGCGATGAAGCTCCCACAACTTCTGAAGGCAAGCTGTTCCATTGGTTTATTGTTCTCACTGCCAGAAAAAAATCTCCTTATATTGAAATTGAAAAATACTTCTCGATGGAAGATTAAAAAATGGAAATTGATTTGTGAAGGTATCAAAATTGTAAGGCTATTCCATCAGAGTTGAAAATTGATATATAATGTTCAATATACTAATAAACAGGGCTTAGTTAGCAGTGATTGCATATTTAAGCATTATCCCTTAAAAGCAGCTAGAACATCAAACAGAAGCAATCTAAGTCATATATATAACTATGTGGATACAGGAAGATCCAAAGGTGTTTTTTCCAAAAGGAAACCGGACTTTCTTTCTTTTTTTTCTTTGAAAACATTTCACAAAATGAGAAGCAAAATGTTTTCAAAGAAAAAAGAAACCAAGAAAGTCCAGTTACCTTTTGGAAAAAGCACCTTTGGGGAAACCAGGACTTGGGTGATTGAGAATCTCCAGAGATGATACAGGTAAAGAGTTTTCCATTTGCCCAGAGAAAGCAAGTAAATATTAGCAAAGCTGTCCAACATCAAAAACCAGAAAAAGAATGTTAGTTTATTCAAGCCTTTCTCAAAAAGAGAAATGTTTTTTTTTTTAAATCTCAAGTTGTTCAATGATTAAAATAGAAATCCTGGTAAAGAATTACTGGCCATTGAACTTGCTTTGCCTTTGAGCTGTAATTGCTGATAGCTATGTATGTTAGGAACCTACAAGGGATTATTTGTATATATGTGTGTGTGTGAGAGAGAGAGGGAGGGAGAGGGAGGGAGAGAGAGAGAGGGAGGGAGGGAAATGCTAACTTAAAACAAAAGTGGGGGTGCTAACAGAATATGTATTATGAATTGTTACCTCTCCTTAGCTCTGATACCATCTTTCTAAGAACAGATTTGTTTAGATATGAAATTGCATTAATTGATCAAGCCTGGCTGTTCTGTGGCCTCTAAAACTCTTTTAGAGAAGGTTCTCTGAAGATGTTTTCCATAGTTATCACTGAACATCTATCAACTGAATTCCACAGATCATTAGGTGAGGACCAACCTGAATCCAAGCCATTCCCAGCTTAGATCCCCCACACCCCAGCCCCAAGCCTTGGTTAAGATAGGAAAGTAGAAATTAAACTCTTTAGGGTCCCATTGTAAAGTGTTTAATATGAAGTACTTGTCTGCTGTAAGACTTATTCATAGGATATTCTGATCTGCAATGAATGTTCCAAGAGGAGAAGACCCACATTGTTTGGTCTGTAACCTGACAGAGTAATTTCCTTTACAGCAAATTGATAAGTGGGAACTTTCTTTAAAACCCTTAAAATAGCTCAAAGAATATACAAGATCTTCCAAATATTTTGGATCATACACATTCTCCAAGATAGCCCAAAGTGTTTCTGAAAAATTTATCCATTTCTTGTATGGTTTCAAATTGTAGGGTGTAAGGTGCACTGAAAAAAATCAAAGTCTTAACTTCTGGTTCTCAAAATTCAGAACATGAAGCCTGTCTAAGTGTACAGATGCCAGCCTTGCAAATAGAAGATCATCTAGATAAGCAAATGTAATGCCGTCAAAGGAGAATAAAAACTCACCATCCCAGCTACATGAAAGGTTCTTAATTTGCTTGGAGTGGAGATGTTCCTCCTCCTCAGGGATAGTGGGGAGAGCTTCCATAGCTTGATAACTCTTGTAACTTTGGTAGGCTTCATGGGAGGTATCCTCAAAGTATTCCTCCGAGGTGTGGGGGAGGGTTCCTTTCTGCTCAGGCCAATACAAATCAAGATCTGAAGATTCAGGTGAAGCAAGATCTTGATAGGATGATGAAGAATGATGAGATTCCTCACTCTCCTGACTTGAAGTACTGTCATCATCAGAAGCTACAGAGTAGCGTTCATAAAGCCCATCACTGTCTTCTAAATCCTCATCTTCCCCATCAAATTCATTTTGATCTGGTTTGCTTCCCAGATTATTCAACGAAGAAGATAAGGATTCTCCTGCTTGCTGGAAAGCTTCATAGACTCGAGATATCCAGGAGGAAAAAGGCTGGAAGAAGCTTAAGACATCCTCTGAAGCCATACTTTTATATATTTAATGAACAAAACCTGTGATGGTCATAAATTCCAGCTGTTCCTCTTTGCCAGTGTATCAGATTCAGTGCTCTGTGAGCTACAGAATAAGCATTACAAGAAATTAGTTTGAATCATCTATTGTTCTTAACAATGGTCTTTGTTAATCAGTAAATCTAGCTAAGAAGATAGAACCCAAGAAAAAGAAGCACCCAGGCAGTATTTGATTTTACTCTAAATGCATCGAAGTACAGAATGATTATGAACAATGCTCATAAGTACTGTATGTAAGTGGTAAGGCCTTAATTAAATCTCACCGCACATATTTATTCATATGAAAGGTGCTGGATTCAAACCCTAGCAAATCCACGAAGGGCTAAAAAAAACTATCTTGATGGGTTATTGCAAGTCTACATAGATAATAAGGAGACAGGAGGAACTTATGGTCAGATTAATATAAGGCAGATTCATCCTAAGTGGCAAGCACAACTAAATCAAAACAGCTGGAATAAATCCTGAATACAAATCAATGGAACACTCAACAGTTTTGTATCACTATTTGGTTTTTTTTTAAGGCAAACTACCTTTATCAGCACGCTGTTAAAACCTCCAAGCAAAACAAAACTTCCAAGCATCAAACTATTTCTTGCTATGCATATCCTTATGGGTACAACCTATTAAGTCGCCCAAGCTGTCAACTGCTATTATGAATCCAGCTTGCCTGCAGCATTTGTAGAACAAAGTTATTTGCAGCCAAGAAAGAAGCAGCTGAGATTAGACAGTCCTCACACAGATGTAATTCAACTGACATTAACAATTGATACTGAACAGGCTCATATTTTATATTAGCTCTTGATTTATCTAATGATGGTTTATAAATGGTAATAGCTGGATTCACATGATATGTGTTAATGGATTAAGAAGTTTAATACACTTTACTGATAACTGGTAGGATGAAACTCACTAATAGAATACAAAGACTGATGAATATAATTTATACAAAAGAAACAAGCCAGATAAAAAGAAGGTGAAGAAGATTGGCACTATATGTGAAGGAAATAAATGTTATATATTAAGATCCAGGAATTTGAATGCAATTTTAGAGTCCAGATGAGAGAATCTGAATAAGAATACAAAGAAAGAAAACAGTAAATATATTATTCTAAGATATGTTGTTAATTGTCATGCTGATCAATCCATCTACATATTGCCCTCCTTGACCAGGAAGTACAGTAAGATGCAACAATAATAACAGAAGCCCCTTCAACTACCTGTACCCTTCTGGAAAATGAAGTCAGATAAGAATCCAAGATCCCAAAAATTCTTTCATACTTGTTCAATTTTTAGAAAGAATAGCGAAAGCTAAAAAGGATAAATTGCTCTAGATTTGATCCTAACCAGTATGGAAAACTTAGTTGAAGAGATAAAAGCAGATTACTTTGATAGACAGTAATCATGTCATCCTGGGGTTCTGGCATTCATGCATTCTAACAGGTCAACATTAATCCTTTGAGAATACTAGGTACAAACTCACATGCAGAAATCCTCAGGTCAAGGGAAAAAAGGAAAGCAGGAACTGAAAGTATAGTTGCACACAAGTCTGATGATAAAATGGGGATGGGGAGAAGGCAACTTAGGAAGTTTAACAAGACACATATACAAATGGGTATAATTGTCAAAGTGTATCAGCAAATAGCAATTACCTGCAGAAAGAAAATCAGAAAATTTAAAACACAAAAGACAAGGTACACTAGAAGCAACAAAATGGGCTTTTTGGCTTTCAGTATTTAGAGGAAGGAAAAAAAAGAAGGGGTCATACAAGAAAATGGTAGGATAATAACAGCTGACAGAAAGGAGACAGAACTCTACAATTTCTACTTTGCATCAGTAATCTTGCATCTTAATTTCAGCAAACTATTCGATTATGTTTCCCATGGGAATCTAGGAGTGGTCTACATAGCTGGTTAAACCACTATACCCAATGAGCGCACATTAACTGCTTCACAACAAACCGAAAGGAAATATTGAGTGCTCTACTGTAGGGCTTCATCCAAAATATTTGAATATTTGTTGTTCAAAACATTTATAAATGATTTCATTGAAGGCAGAATTATTATAAATTTATAGTCAACACAAAAATGGGGAACAGCAACTACTTTAAAGAAAAGTATCAAACTTCTGAAAGATGTTAAGCTGAAATCATGGATAGAGATCAGCAAAATGAATGATAACAGCAACAAAATATTGCCAAATTATAGGGATGATTCAATTTGTACCAACTATTCCAAGACCTTTTCCATACATGTGAAAATGAGCCCTATTTTATATACCTGGATGGTTGGTAATTCTGAGAAGCCATTTGCATTTGTCTCTATTAAATTTCATTGTGTCAATTTCAGCCCATTTCTCTAACCTTTCAAGATCACTTTGAATCTTATTTCTGTCTTCTACGACAGAGGTCTCTAACCTTGGCAACTTTAAGACTTGTGGATTTCAACTCCCAGAGTTCCTCAGCCAAAGCTGGCTGAGGAACTCTGGGAGTTGAAGTCCACAAGTCTTAAAGCTGCCAAGGTTGGAGACCAGTTCTAGGATATTGGCCATCCCACACAATTTTGTGACAATTGATATACCTTCTACATCTTCATCCAAGTCATTAATAAAAATATGAAAGAATAAAGTGCCTTTTCTTCAGTTATATATAGTTTAACATTCTACCTCATAAACAGTCACAGCAGATACTGGCACCTAGCAACCTTTGCCGAGTTCAAAAGCTATGCAAAGCTAGGTCTAGATTGGGACATTACTAGAAAATCCTAGGACTATAGACATAATGTTGACCCTAAACCTACATTGGCATATTCATGCAGTCACCAGGAATCAAGCTCAATGCAAGGATGCATTTATCCTACTCATCTGCTATTTTCGTGACTTATAAAGTTTGAATATCTATCTATTCACTTAATTTCTATTGACAGTAATGGGAGCTGGCAAGACATTCATGCATTGATATCAAAGATATCTGGAAGGCACCCATACTAGAAGCCAGTCAAAGAAATGGGGGAAATGGAACATGGTACAGTTAAGGCAGGGAAATGGTTGCTCCGCAGAAACCATCCTGCTTTTGACAGAAGATCCTCTTTGCTTTGGTTTTAGTGCATGGGCAGGAATGTAAACAAATAAAACTTGACTGCCCCAATCACATTTAGATCTTGATAGATTTGACTTAGAATTTCAAAAGTCCAAAACTCCTTTCAAAATAATGCAGCCCACTCACACCTAGTTTTTCAGCCAACTTTCCTTTTGCTGTGCTACGTTCGTTGCATCCCAATTGGAGCTGTGCTTTTCCCTGCCCCAACCCCCAGCTAGTATAATCCACCTGCTTTCAAAAGCTGTGGTTAGAATCAATACAAATCTTTCCATTATAAGTACCATATTTTTCAAGGTTTTACTTGTCAATCACATGTTAAGTGAAAGAATCACTTTCAAATGCAAATTACTACAGCTTGGAAGCAAATGAATTCCCCTCCTCCTTCCCACTTTACTCCGTTTTAAAACTTTCCCTGTTTATTAATCATTCACTTTTTAAAAAGCTTCAATAAATATATGTTTGCAAGATCATCTCTGGCAGCTCCAAAAAAATGTCAACACCCACATAAAGGGAAGGAGAGATGTTGTCATTTAGAAAAAGGCTCCTCCATCATGTTATTTGTCAAGAAGAAGAAAGATTTTGCAATTCTCACACAAAAGAAATTTTGAACAGAAGAATATCAGCATTTATATAATACTGGAACCATAGCAGAGAAGAAAATAAAAGGAGCAGAGCACAAGTACTGTAGAACCAGAAAGAAGTTTTAAAGCTATGGGTGGCAAAGACCAGGATCATATTGCACACACACACACACACACACCTCAATATCTGCACACTTACAATGCATGAAAAGTGCCTCTTTCATGCACTGTTAAACGCGTATACCCAGTTTTATATTTATCAGGATTACATATGTTAGACTTGAAATACACTATTTTTAGCATGTATGTGCAAAGCAGACAATCTGCTTTGCAAAATCTGTCTGCAGCTCAACCAATCCCACTATGCTTCCCAGAAGGAACCATCTATCCTCCTTGAAAGTGATTCCAATCAGGAAGGTCCAGGAAAAACCGCTCAACCTTTTCTGCTGCCGCACATGGCTTAGAAATCCAACTAACTATAGGTTTCCAAATTGCCTTGTCTATTATTAATAGACTTCCATCACTGATAAGATAGAACAAGCTGGAATCTTAGGCTCTGAAGCAGATTTCAGATCCTAGCATGTGGCAAAGTTAGTAAGAAATGCTTATTGGTTTTGATATATCAGGAAACCAGGATTAATTGGGAGCTTCTGGGTTGCAATGCCACAAAAAGATATAAAGGTTATGTATTTGATCAATTATGTCATCATACTGCTCCTATTTTCTTGACTTTTCACAAACTGCTCAAGACCTCATTATTTTACTTCCTGAGCTAGGATGGGGATTGAGCCTCGTTGGTTGGCTTTTGGAAATTAGAGGTTGGTTTCTAATCCCTTATCTTCTTTTTCTATGTATTTCCTTTTAATTTTCATCTAAGTCGCTAAGACACTGGGCAGCCTCAAAACAAAATGTGATCATTGGAATACAAATAATCCTAAATTTGTTTCCATCTTCTTATTGAGGCAGAGGAACAGACCCAATGAAACAAAATCATTTTCCACTAGTTACCTATAGACTCCAAAGATGTACTTTTCTCATGATTCTTCCTGTTTGTCACTCAGAGGAAAACTAAAATGTTTTATTTTCTGTATCTCATTTGAATATCTATATGAACATATTTATATGACCCTGACACAATAAACTAAGCCATTCCTGTAGAGTATTCATCCAAGTCCAGAGCAATCATCATTTCAGGATAGCTACTAGTCAAAATCTGAAATCAACAATAAACTACTGCTCCAAATTCAGGGATGAACTAAGATCATTCATTCATTCTCATTAACTGACCAGTATACCTAAGTATGCCATTACATATCAATGAATGTCTTATATGTCTGAATAAACCACCTGAGTTGCCCCATCAACTCATGTAATCCTTTTCTATACCAGAATAAGCACTATCCCAAAGACATTCACTATGTTTTCTTTTTGATTTGATTGTGTTTCTTGTCCAATCCCATTTTCACCTCTGCTGTTTCAGACCATACAACAAAAATTTAATCAAATTAAGCTTTAGATGCTCACTTTGTTTGTTACACACACACACACAATCTGCAAGCAAACTCTTCCTTTTGTTTTTAACTAATAAATTTACAACATGTTCTTTTGATTGGGGATCAGCATTTCAATTTTTTAATGGTGAAAAAATACTTCATTGTATAAACAACCAGTGAGGAAGATCTCTAAATGGGCGAAAAAATCCCCCAGATAAAAATGTTCCAAAAATATAGTGAGTATGAGTGGGTGGATGGATGGATGAATGGATGGATGGAGGGACGGACAGACAGATAGATGATAGATACAAATAGACACTATATCCTTTGCATACATCTTAGTTTTATATTTTAAATGCTATGTCATATAGTATGCCTTATTTTAATTGTGATGCTTCTGACACGAATCAACAAACATACATCTTAATCTGAAGGGAGCTGATTATCTATCACCAAGCAGAAAGCACACAGAAAGAAAAATTGTGAATCACCCAGGTGGCTCATGCCTTGTGTCCAAATTCTTGCAGTTAAAAAAGAGATAAACTGCAGTACAATGTATGTTGTGATTTATTTTTGGAAAGAGAAAAGATTGATTATATAGTGCAAAGATGATAGGCATAGGAAAACATTCTGGCTAAGCTAAAGTTTTGCAATTTGCATGCAATCAATATGAAAACAGAAATAAGTCTTTAAGATCAACAAGAGGATATCATTGTTGCCGCTGATGTAGTTGTTGCCAGAATATTACATATTACTTACCAAGACTTTCCCGAACCCCAGATTTTTCTTTGTAGTGCTTGTGCTTCCCCTGTTGCTCCAAGCAGGGAAGACCTCCAATCTTTTCAAAACAGAGCTTCTTGTTGATGAAGAGGGAGAGGACTGCAAGGAGAACTATAAAGACCCCAACAGCAGAGAGGAACCCAATTGCTTCAGGAGTAACTGGGAATAAAACGAGAGAAAGCAAATAGAATAAATGGAGATTGTACAAAAAAAAATGGCAGAAATGCATGAACTGCATTTGCTACCAGAGGTGGTATTTAGCAAGTTCTGACCAGTTCTGGAGATTTTGAGTAGTTCAGAATAGCACCTCTGGTTGGCCCCGCCCCGATCTATTCTCTGCCTCCCGAGTCCCAGCTGATCGGCTGGGTCTTCTTTTGTTGCCCTACACAGGAGAACGGAGCTGGAAAGCAGGATAGTGGGGTGGGGAAAGAATGGGGATTTTACAGTATCCATCCCCTGCCATGCCCACCAAGCCACACCCAAAGAACCAACAAGCCATGCCCACCAAACCATGCCATGCCCACAGAACCGATAACCCACAGAACTGGTATTAAAAAAAACCCACTATTGGCTATCAGCATGTAGATATTGGGGATGTTTACAGGGATCACCAGGAAGAGAGAATGAGAGAGTTGTAGCAGTTAAGATGCTGTCTTAGGAGCAAAGGTTCTAGTCCATCCTCAACCATACAGGCTCAAGGACCCCAAGGACATTGACTCTCTCTCAAACCATCTCAACTAACAATGATTGTTATGGCAAAAAAACAGGAAGGAAGGATGCTACAAGATCCTAAATGAAATTACAGATATACAGCTAACAAATAAATATTACTTTGTCTTCAGGATGAAAATCATCACTTCTGCCATCCCATCATAATTTGCAATGAACCACAATCCATTTCTATGAAAAATGGCCAATGAAACCTCTGACAGTCGGCAGCCTGTGGGCTACAACTAGTGCAAGCTTCCTCAAAGTGATGGTGATGTTCAATTCCACAGCCATCAGATATATCTGGTAGTCCTGAACTAACAACAGTTCGCTTAGTGGCCGTTCAAAGTTGCAACAGTACTGAAAAATGTGACTTGTACCTGTTTTTCACAGTTAAGACCTTTGCAGCATCCCCATGATCATGTGATCAGATGCTTGGCAACTGTTTCTCATTTATGACGGTTGCAGTGTCTCAGCATCATGTGCTCTACTTTTGCAACCTTCTGACAAGCAAAGTCAACAGGAAAGCAAGGTTCATTTAACAACCGGCTTACTAACTTATCAACCGCAGTGATTCACCTAACAAATGTGGCAAGAAAAGTCATAACATTCACTTAACAAATGTCTCACTTAACAACAGAAATTTTGGCCACCATTGTGGTTGTAATGTTCTGACCCAAACCTGGTTCCAAGAGAGCAAACACAAGAAAAAGGCAGCAGCCCAACCTTTTAATGTTTCATCTATGAATTCTGTTTCTTCACAGATAAAAGACTGATTCCAACTCATTAGCTCCGACAAGAAAGAGCCTTGCCAATTTTTTCAAGGCTGCCAAAAAAACAGCAGATAAGAAATACTTTACAACACAAGAGTCTTCAAATACCAATTGTAATGTTCACGAGGCTGAGTTTCAAAACATCTTTGCTTCCTACAAAGAATGTTCACTTCACAGCTGGCTTTTATCTTCTTGAAGGAGGGGCCATTACCTTGCAGCCTTACTGCCAAGTTGCCCATGCTGTTGTAGCTGCTCTTTCCTGCAAGCAATCCTGCGTGCACGCACACTTAGCACAGGCTCCTCAGGAACCTCCTCATCGCGGCTGCCAGACCCCACACTATCTGAGTCCTCACTCTCCTCAGCCGTCCGCACCTGCTACTGGCTAACCACAACATATAAGTTGAGGACTACCTGTAGTAGCTGGGGAATTAGCTAAACTTCAGAAAGGGAAAAGGGCATGTAGAAATGACTAGACTAACCACAGTAAAAAGGGAACATCAAGTAGAGTTCCTGGCTTTGGCCATGTTCATTTGAGGGGCAGCAGTGCAGAAATTGTTTGCCATTACTGCCTTCTGGGATTTTTAAAAAAATGCCCACCTTATTTTATAGTTTCCATTAAATCTGTTCAGCTACGTGACTGATTTAATCATGTTAGACTAAACTAGGTTTAAAACTGCATTATCTTGCTTTGGTCTAGGGATTACAAATGTGGCCCTTCAAATGTTTGAACACAGGTAGTGCTACTAAAAATTGAAACTGAACAATACCTGTTAGCCACAGACAAACGTGTACAAGTTAGCTTTATTTTTCTAATCAGTGCACTGTTTCCATGGCAATCCTAAGATACAGCTTTGGCTAATGACCAAGAATCCTCAGTCTATTTTCATAATTAACAGGCAAAGAAATGTTTGAAAGAAATCTTTTACAATATACCTTAATGCAAACAGAGAATCTCACTTCAGCTACATAAAACTGGTGGGTCTTTCATCAGGAACAAATCTTCAGCCACCTGGGCACATATGTGTGTGTAAATGGAGACACTTCGGCTAAGGCTGTCAGTGAAGTACAGTAATATTACTGCACATGGACTTTCATGTGGAGACTTCAAGGACAATGTAATCAGCAGCTATTGTCAATATTGCTACAAAAATAGCAACCAATTTGGGGAACAAGCCCGCCATGGCTTCCAGTCAAAAGAAACTTTAGAAGTAGCTAGCTACTGACAGTTATGCAGTTCCTGCCTTCCACCCTGATGACCAGCAGAAAGGTACACTAGTATAAAGGTAGTCCTCAACCTATGACCACAATTGAGCCCAGAATTTATGTTGCTAAGTGAGAAATTTGTTAATTGAGATTTTGACCAGTAGTGGGATGCTGCTGGTGTAACAACCAGTTCGCTAATCGCACCCTTTACGCGCATGGGCAGCTTTCAAAGCTACTTCCCTTCAATGTTACTTCGGGGAAGTAACACAGCTGAGGCGCAGCAATTCGCTCTGCTGCATGAATCAGCTAAGCAGATATAGGTGAGTACAGCGCAGGGGTGGGTGGGCGGGCCTACATGATTGTCAGAGCAAACCAGTTTGGCGCCAGCTAATCATCAGAGCTAGGGGTTTGCCCGAACCAGCAGAATCCCACCCTTGGTTTTGACCCATTTTATGGTTTTTCTTGCCACTTTTGTTAAGTGAATCACTGTAGTTGTTAAATTAGTAACACCGTTGTTAAGTGAATCTGGCTTCCCCATTGAATCTGCTTGTCAGAAGGTCGCAAAAGATGATCACATGACCTTAGGACACTGCAACCGTCATAAATGTGAGCCAAGAGTCTTAATTTTTGATCACGTGACCACAGGGATGCTGCAACCATCATAAGTGTGAAAAATGGCCATAAGTCATGCCGTGGCAACTTTGAACCGTCACTAAACATAATGTTGTAAGTCAAGGACTACCTGTACTTAGTAGATATCGAGAAAAGTTGGCAGTACAAGAGAAAGCATCTCAATTGTTAAACGATATGAGCAACATCAACAACAAAATTAAAATATTACTGACTCACACATTGTACTAGACCATAATGTATATATACCTGGTTGTATCCATAATGTATATATACCTGATTGTATCCATAATCCTGAATACAGCTCTGCAGGGCAATCCAGTATTATCTATACATTTTGTACAGGGAAAAGGGTGTAAACTTTAAATAGCACAAATAATGATTTGCATTCTGCTGGGAGATTAGCATGTTTTCTTTAGCGGTTGGTGGGCCAGTGTGAGAACAGACTGCTTGGCTAGATGGACAGGGGCATGATCCAACAGGACAGTGTTTAAGTTTTCTTATTATAATACCAACCATTTCAAAATGAAGAGACATGTCAACTGAAACTACATGCTTTCAATTATACCAATGGTGGTTTCTTAGAGGAAAAGGATTTACCGATTATCCCAAAGGTGCTTTTTCGAGAGACAACTGGACTTTCTTGTTTTTCTTGAAGATGTTTCACTTCTCATCCAAGGAGCTTCTTTAGCTCTTACTGATGGTGGGGAATGGAAGGATTTATATTCCTTTAAAATAATGCAAATGACCAGCTGTCTGCAAGGTTTATAAATCTTTCCATTCCCCACCATCAGTAAGAGCTAAAGAAGCTTCTTGGATGAGAAGAGAAAGAAAAATAAGACAGTCCAAAACAAGACAACCCTAACCCCCTAACCCTCGATGACTGAGAATAGACAGATTTATTAATTTATTAATTTTTAAAGACAGAAATCAGATTGTCACATCTTACATCTCCATCTGCCCATGTTCTGTGCCTTTAATGATCTCATAACATACTTAAATACGTCATGTATGCATACAGTGCAGAGAAAACTACAGCTGGTGAATTTTTTGCCTATTGTAAAATACAGTACTGAAAATCTGAGAAACTGCATCAACTGAGTTGGAGAAGGTGAGAAAACAATTACTTAACAGAAAGAGTTAAGTTTACATTTCTTTCAGATTTAAAATCCTCTCTTAGGGCGACTGGCAAGATTCATTAGATGGCTTTGCAATTCAATCTCAGACTGGCGCAAAATAAGGCTGTAGAATAGTATATGCTACAGCAATTAGCAAGTAATCATGTCCAAGAGTGTTACCATAAGTGAAAGACATGTTGTTCAAGGCATGCAAGTTAAAAGCATCTGTCACATAATCCCAGACATTTGACTATTCCCCAGCATTTGCTTTCTAAACAGAGCAGCTTCTTAGCATCACCAAACTAGAAGGGAGGATTCATTACAAGGTGGCTTTTTAAACTGCTACTTGCCAGAGACAGCACTGTTCTCAGCAATTGCTTTAATTCTAATTTATTCCTGACATTGGGTGGGAGGTGGGCCAGAGAATAATAAGGAAAGAGTCACTGGTACTTTTCCAATTATAATTCTGCCACCTCCCAACCAGTAGTCCATAAACTGCCTCGCTTATAACCATTTGTGCTAATTGAACTTCATTATACATTTGTAGCAATGTGTTGTTTTCCAACCGATTCCTGCGGTACCCTTTCTAACCAACGGCTAATTATACCGCACGTACATGCACACATACACAGAAGACATCACACCAAGAGAGCTGGTGAGTGGGCAGGAGCTTGGCGGAAAGCTGCGTGTGGCAGACTTGTACGACATTACTATGGGCTCGAGCATT